CGTGCGTGGAATACGCGACACAGATTTTCACGGGAACGTGATTTTCAGTGTTGCCGTGTTCAGCGTTCGGGTTATAATTTTATAACATATGTGAAGCGCCAATTTTGACCGACAAAGCCCTTCCAGATAGTCACGTTCCCGCTGGCCTTCAACAATCCTGTTTCCATTCTTGAAGCGTTTGCACCATTCACTACGCCTCTTTGCCTAGCGTTTTCGCTAGCCTTCAAGGACAAAAGCTTAATCCATTTCTCCTAGAGTAAACTGTGCCTGTTTTCACTCCCGAATTTCTGATTGGAACATTTACCAGCCAAGTTGGAAAATTTTTCGATTTCGAAGTTCGTCGATTTCCTCCCGAGCGGAACCCTCGAGATGGTTTCAAAAATCCTATTGACAGGTGAAGAACCTACATTTCAAATCAGTGAGAGCAGTCGAAAAAGATAATGAAGTAAACACCTACCATAACTGCAATCGTACGGGGGCATCATCCTAATACTACTTCTTTCTATAGCCCTTCGTGCTGTGATGTAATACCGTGACAATATCTGCAACAACGATTTGTAGTGTACTACGTAAATTGTTCATCTTGACGGTGGCGAACTCATTTTACCGGACGTACTCGGTGTTTTCCGTTTGCCAGTATCTTTTTTTGATAATGATCTCTTCTCATACATAGATTTTGTCTCTATACAACAGCCATGCGTCGCGTGGTATATAGGAGCGGTATGAGGTTAAAGTTGTTCTTTATTACAATAATCTGTGTACCTTCTGCTTCTTCAATCAATGTGAAATAAATATCTCCCAATCATTGCCGAACTTAGTATGGACGTATTTATAACTTACGTACATCGACAATAGCCAGTGTTCAGTAGATTAGAGTCAAACAACTGTGCATAACTCAGGTTGACGTCTCATGAATAGAAGTCGATGCGCATCTACCAACAACGGGGCACAGTTAACCGATAGAAAAACAAAAAAGATAAAACAATCTCAGAATGCAGTAACGGTTTAAGTATCGGTAACTTCAACAATTATATTCAATACACGTAGAAAATAATGCCAGCGTAAACGCAGTGGAGTCTATTGGAGTTCGTTGTCCGCTATAGGCGAGCGGCACAACCAATTAATGCGGCAATTTCGTCCATACTACTGACTTTGATTCTCTGTCAATATGGCTTAAACAGCCGGAACTAATAAAAAAAAACATAAGAAAAAATGGAGCGGTTGTAACAAAAGGTTGCGCAACGGAGTTTCAGCTTACTCAATTTCCATATATCCTTTTTAATGATCTTTCTAGTTAATAGTCATTCCTAATCACACTCTTACAGCACTCTGTCCTTACACAAAACCATCACTTCAGGCCATTCACTTTGAAAGATCACTTCAGGACAACAACCATCCACTCACCAGACGAACTTCGTCTTCGATACATTTAAAATTGGAAAAGAACGAACAAAATACAAAGCTATTCAAGCAAGACTTTTATTAGAGATGATAATACATGCACTCGGGATGACTAAAGTATACGTTCGATCCCAGAAACTTGCCTGGTATCGATGTGTCTACATTAAACTATTTGTTAATTTTCGTATAACTTAAGTGACAAACGGCGACGAGGGCTAGCTAACCCAGCTGGGCAAAAACGTCACAAACCAATCCCTACATTGGAAAAAAAAATTTCCAGAAGCGAGATTCCCAACGTAAATTCACGCGATTTCGTAAAACGACAACAAGGACGTTTATCGAGTACAGCCAGTAGCTTGTTATTAACAACAGTGTTTTTTTCCGTAACAATCCAGTAGTTTCGCTGGCGAGATTTTTCAAATGGCATTATCGATTGAGTGCATTGAACCCCGACCTTTTGCACATACGGGATCCTAGGTGAAGTAGATCACAGTCCCACAGCACCACGTAAATATCCTACTAGCAGTAAAATTTGACCTGCACAACGCATTAGCGTTTTCGAAAGAGTTCTGACCTCTTACCGTACGTCTCCAATGACGTAACTCGGTGAAATTTGCTAACCGTAAGGATTTCAGCCCAGTGTTGCATAAATTAGTGCCATTTTCCCGACACAACAAGCTCGCTGTACATGTCAGATAGTTCCTGCACTTGTATAGCATATATCTATATATAGTATAAGGTCTCCACGTTCGAAATCATGCGAACCTTTTTAATAGGTGCTATCTAATATTTTAGGTTGGCGCACAAGCCATGTTGCTTTTTTTCACCTAATGAAAATGTGGCGTTGCACTCGAATTATTCTGCAAAAAATCGAGTAATCATCACTTCCATCACGATCATTTACTGTCATTCTCCACAACTGTGTCCCGTCTCTCAACAAATTTATGAATCCCTTTTTTAGCAAATACTCTCTGATCGGGTGTTGAAGAACTCATTCAGCAGGGTTTCAACACCCTCACCACTATCAAATGTGAAAGCGCCGCGATGGCGGTTTGGTACGCTTTTTGAAAAGAAAAACGACTCTGCTTTGACTAGAGGTTCCTTTCTGTTACGTAGTCTGCCTTGAGGGTTTTTCGAGTAATCAGAGACGCCAGAGAAATATGGTTTAGATCGAACAGATAGGAGCCCCGTCGTCGCTGTGTGTTGTTCTTATGGATGATCAGAACTCAATCAGTTGCTGCCACAAACAACGGAGATTGTTAAAGCCTGTCGGTATTAAATCAACGCTGCCACCTAGCCTAAAACAGGAACATCGAGTAAATATGAAGCAAGGGAAAGTTCATGACATAATTATACTAATGTAATGTCAAATTATATTTGGTAGTAATTCGAATCAAATACGTCCTTAATCATACTTCCTTTGATTAAATTACACGCTAGAATCGATGGATTCGTTTTCTATTTTGTCAAAAATAAACAGTTTTCTACACACGCTTTACACTATGTATTTTCACTTGAGCAATTAAATTTGGGGTACAATACGGTTCAAAACATATCAATATATAAAATTACTTAATTACAAGTAATCAATACTTGACTCTGTGCTAATCTACAGCCCGGCCCGATCGATACCACAGATCCTTCTTAGTCGTCTTGTTCTGCTCAAGCATTTCCCAGCGTATAGGACACTTCCAATTCTGCCAAGCGCAAGCTATCTTTTTTTGTAATGGGGTCTAGCTTGACCCTTGACTTACGTATATCTCCTTTCGAAAGCTAGGCACTAGTTTCCACCTCCACCTCCCCCCCCCCCTTCCTCTCTCTGTCTTTCTATATATATTTGACAAATATATGACACTTTTCGTCACACAAATCAATTTTGTATAGATACTTGTGTGACTTGTATGTGTGTTTCCCCTTCCTAGGTGAGTTGTTGAGGGTCAACGAGAAGTCGTATTTTCTTGCGCGCTTTATCCATACTAAAGCGCACCACCTTTCTAATTTCTGATAAAACTGTATGCATTGAATACGCCTTACTAATGTTCATAGCTGACCTCCTCGACTTATCAACAAGTTGCTTTCTATCAAGATCTTTATCGACCTTGGCTAGCTGATCGGAAGGGAACACATCCCCGAGGTCCAGAGTCCTATCTTTGAACTTAGTAAACCCCTTTGACCAGTCATTAAGGTGTCCTTGATGTACAGGGTACGAATATACCGGACTGCTGACCTTGAAAAAAGGCGAGATAAAGTAGATTTTAAAAATATTCTTTTTTCCCCCTAAGAGTACTCATCTTTGGAAAGTTAGCTCAAGATCAATTTTTGTTTATGGCGCAAGGAGATGTCCATGGGTTTTTAGAAGTGACAGAATACTTTAAACTGGTAAACAGAAGTAAACAAAAATGGTGGAAAGGTGCAAGGGAAAGGGAAGATCTGTGGAAATAGTATCATTGCTTATGTACCGACCGAAAAGGTAGATAGTGTGAGTGATTCATGTTACTAGGCCACGAGAACAATCCCGGGCCGCTGTTTATTGCACGGCGATTTCGAATTGAAGGGACTTCCAGCCAGTGCCAACTTTGAATGGCACTATACCCATTGTACACAACTATAAAATCACCATGACGTGATAATAATTTTAGAGATTTGAAGATGCCAATGATGTCGCCACGTAATTCCTGCTCAATATACTTATATCTAATATTAAATAGAAAGTAACGTGGGATTTTTCGCTTCGATGGCTTCTCTTTGCTACGTCCGCGTTTAATAGTGGCCAGGTCAAAGCGTCGAAAAGCTCTTCTTGCACTCTATAAGGTCGTTGTCTTTATTTCATTCCGGTCAAAAATATTTTTACTAGCTTTGGGTCCTGCTGGTAAAAAAACTGCACTTTCTATGGCTATTATTCATCTAGCATCGAGTTTAGAAATTTCCAAAAACAATCCGTCATAGATGCACTGTGAGGACGTCTTCACTGAAGATTTTAATTCTAAGTGGTTTATTACGTTTAAACGTAGCTTTTTTTCTGCCTAAAAAATTAACTTCATAGGACTGTTCGAATTCAAGAAGGATTTTTAGTTTTGAACAAATATAATTGTCAGTTAATCCCAAATTTTTCTGCTCTGCAGTCCTCAGCATGGTCGAAGCAAATTTCCTGAGTTGCTGCAGCAAATGTGTAACATCAATGAAAGTCTGTGTCGTAAATTCTCACCGTTCTTTTATATTTACAGTCCGAACTCAAACTAAAAGATCGTGACCCAAGCAAAATGACGACAGCGATCTTGCAGGGCAAATAGATTTCAAGCTACACTTAGCGAACCGAAAAATTAAACCATTGAATAAGGATCGCCATTATTTTCCGAACAACCTAATGCTTTGAGCTGGCTTGTATAACGTTAGCTTCCGAAACTAAGATGTTCACACCAACAAAACTACTATTATTATGTTATTTATACAGTTATATTGTCTACATAATCCACATAGATAAGGTCGGGCATATAGAAATACGTTCCAGTACCCTTTTCATGTATTACGCTCAGTACCACTAGGCATAACTTCATACTGCTAGCTTCCAGATTCTAACCGAGACTACCATGTGTCCCTAGGTTTTGCCAGCAAATACGTTACCCATTGCGCTACTACAGATATTACGTGCTGACGTCAGTAAAGCATTCAAATGTGTGCGCGCGAAGTCGCACCATCGTATTGCGCGACAGGAGGTCCGCTCGGCGCATTGCAATTTACCCGTTACCGTGTTATGGAAAATCTATATGCTGCTGCTGCTGGTGTGGGTGGTACTTTAATCGTCGCTTTTCTCCGTCTCTCTCACTAGTGGACGTCGCGTGTATGGGTGTGTATGATTGCGGCTCAACACAGCGCAAAGCAGTGCATCGCGGCCAGTCACTGGGCTATATCTCTCTATTCGTGCTGTCGCTTGGCTGACGTGTGTGCTGAATCTATATAGTCGTCATCACTCAGCCGCCAGCGAGAAGTGACGTTGTTCATTATCTTTTTCTTTCTGTGTATTTGTGTGTGTGTGTGCCTGCGTGCGTGCGTGCGTGCGTATGTATATTTGTGTCAGTGCGTAGCCAGTCAAGCGCAGTTCAATTCTAATTAACTATAATAATTTCGACCGTTCGATTCCTGGCCTGTCTGTCCGCCAGTGGTGTCGTAGTGGATGTGTTCGATATTGTAATATACGTTGGTAGTCTGGCGCTCGTTCGGTGAAATTTGGTAATAGCTAGCCGTCGGTGATGTGGTAAAGAAACGCCATTATATTTTATCTTAGTGTTGTTGTGGTTATCGTTATCAATGTTTTGGGCATGGCGGCCGTGAGTTTAGGATCGTCCCGATGCATTATACCGCTGCTGGTCGCGTTTGCCGTGACGTCCACGTTCGCGTTTCCCGATCAGGGCAAGTGGTCTTTCCACGGAGCAAATGTAAGATATTCTAAATGCAACACCTGCCACCGGTGTCATCCATTGGTGGTACCATTATTAGCTGATACAACTTTTCGTAGTGTTCCCATTGACCTTTTGTGATGTCTAGTAGCGATTGGAGGCTATAGCACATACAGATACGGAGGGTATTCAAACTTGTGACATATTTTCGTGGAAACAGTTGTATCTAGTGATTTACATTTGCTTTTACAAGCTTTACCTTAATATTTTCTACCTGACCATACTTAAGTTGACATTAGGAAACAACGTGAATATTGTGCCTGCAAGTTACAATCGTACCATGGTAAATCGAGTTTTGTGAAAACTGAACAAATGTGGACCTATCTTCAACTCTGTATGGGGCGCCTAATCTATCGTAATGGGCGCGAAATTTGTAACGCTGTCCGAAATGACCAGGAATAGGTGATACGAGTGCTGTCTGTAATTAAATAATTCGCATTAAATATGTAGTTGAATAACAAAGATGAATAAAAAAAAAGTTGCAGTGGGTAAAACAACGAGTGATGGTTTTAGCCAAACCATTGGTCGTTGATAAGTGATATTGTTAGGGTACTGCTAATGGATGGCTACTCGAGCAGTTAAGAACGCATGTATTAACGTACAGCTTTTAGTGAATTTTGGCCCGTCACAGTGTTAGTGTGAGCAGGTTGATTTTATAAGTCTCTGGGAGCACATACAAACTGGAACGTTCATCAGTAATTTACTCTATCCAGAGAACATAATTATTTTTTTTTCATTTTACAGGTGACTAAATTCCTTACCGTTAACCACAAAAGTCTCTACCGCGGTTCGACTATTTCAGTGAAAAGTGAGTATTTCCATTTGTAGATATCATCGTCATTTCAATATCCCATTGCAATGCGTTCTCTACACTAAATTGGTGGTAACCTTGTTCGTGACATAGCAACAACCCTATTTTTTTCGACTCCATTTCTGACAACGACAACCTGCAACGTGAGGCTAATCTCAACCTGGTCAACATGAGGTCACCTTGTAAAAACAGCACTGACAGTCTGTGGAGATTCATGTGTTTATTTGTTTATCTCTACGTAACGTGTTTCAGACTACGTCTCATCTGTACGAATGTCTTATTTCGTACTTAATCGTTCATTTACTAAGTAGTGTCAGTGTAACCTGACTTAATCTAATTCATTCAACACTAATTGTACCTGCTATGTAATTTGCATAGCATGACCAGGTTATATCACTTTTATTTTCTACTGCAGGCATGGTGACTTGTAGGGTTCTGTCTGTTACCCGATAAGTGCCCTAATGGTGAAAAAATAGTGGTTTAAAAGCTTTAAAATTATTTCCAAAATTGTACAATCGTAAGATTATGTTTAACGACGTTACTCCTCTTTCTTATAACAACTAGTTGAAACGCCAAACCGTTCCTTGGAACAATTTCCTTTACCTAGAGAGCTAATTCTTATCGTCATATTATTGTTGCTTAATTTTGTCGACGTTCTGTCTATTACAAGATAGTAAAAAATAAAATTCAAGTTTAGAATGGTTCGATGGAAGTAATCATTATAGAGTCCGTAGTAGAGATATTGTAATCAAGAGGTGTCTTAGTCGTTCGGTGGTGAACGTTTTTCGTGTAACTTTTACTTTATCGGATTAATCGAGCAGCTTCCTACGGAAGCATGTAACTCTCTACGGATAGTCGCTTGACGGACCTGTCAACACTCCTGAACTAACAACTTTTAATGCGTTGACTCTGCTTTAAATACTGATGGCAGAACATTTTTGAATACGAAGGTAATCATGTTAACTACATAGGAGGAAAACGCATTGAGATTATCATATATATGTCATTGTTGACCTGGGGAGCTGTTTTGATAATCGCTTGAAAGCGGATATTCTAGCTGATGAGCAGATAATATAGTGAAGATCTTAATTTTATTCAGCTTGCATAATCAGTGCTTAAGATGTATTTCAACAGAGTCACATGCGGCTAATCAATTTGATGTTTAAATGACTTGGTTCTTTTGCGGCAGTATGCTCGTCTATCGATCTTTTAATAAAGATTAAAGCCAAGAAATGGATCGTATCGTTGGATTATCGGGTGTATATATATATAAAAAAAAAAACTTTCTATTTTTCCTAATTCCTGCAGACAGAGACATACGTTCTAATATGTATGACTTCATTTGAGAAGTGAAGAAATACGATCTTAACAAAACACCTTTTTTGAATGCTCCGTTCTGACTTACGAGTACACTGTAGATAGAAGAAATAGTATACAGACAAACATACTATCTTTACTACAATGAAACCTGATGTATTTTTAAGGAACACAAATAGGCACCTTATCGTCCAAATATGCTTTTGTTTTTCATATCATATCTTTAAAACTTAGGTCGCAGATTTATCGTACACCGAGCTTCCGATCAGCTTAAGATTACGAAAGTATATTGTATTCATGAGGATTTTTTATAGTATGGTTGATCGTCTGTAGATTCTTTGACTGATAATTAGATTAGGTGACCTGGGGTCATGGCTTCAAGCTTTACCTGGAGTTATAACCTCGAATAAACTCTACGCTGAGATCCATTGCCGGTATTCTGTTATAGTGCGTGATTTGACTTGAACTGGATCAGTTACCTGATTATGTACTGGAACGTCCATTTTAAGTCGAACGTTCACCTCTAACCATTTATTCCCGTTGTTTCGGATTTTTCATTTCACCTAAACAGTATCATGTCAGAGCCACCCAAGCGCGAAGAACGAGACGCCAAAGGTACAAGTGTCCTGGAAACTGTACAGAACTCCCTGCTATCAGGATTATCTTGAAGTTGAATACCTCGTGAGTATTGTTCATAGCTTGGGTTACGGATGTTGGTCATTAGTAGTAATATCTTTATAATCTTGGGATGGTTGATTTAAAATTTTACTCCCGGTACTGCCGTTGAGCATCGATTTAGGGTGCCGACTTCCAGGACGATGTGACGAGCGTGCACATCCGCTTTTGAACCTAGGTTTCCTCCCGTATTTTAAGCCTGGTGTATAAAGACATCACTACTAAACCAGTACGGAAACTGACTTATGTTGATGTAATTGGGTGCTTTCTTTGATAGGTGGCCTTTTTAAATTTCTGAATTTTTACAAAACTAACATCGTTTTGCCCTGTAATGTATTTAACACCCGGGGCAGCATCAGGATGAACTCGTCATCTTATTTGATGGCACTCGCCAGGATATTAGCCATCGAGTTTACGCGTCTCCTAATGAGACACATGACTGCCTTGAACATTTCCAGCTCAAGCCACAGGTTAGTTGTTTCTGTTGCTGTTGCATTTACTTTGTCACTCCTCACTTGAACTAACCTATCAAAGAGAATCGATGATACTGGATTATATCGTAATACTATATTACGTGTGCGCAGCAAGATACGTCGTAATTTTCAGGTGTGTAACAGAAGCGGTGTGCTTCAGATTGTCGCTAAACTCTTTTTACAAAATCCAGCTGTTTTCCAGAATTCAATGTTGGGTATTGTGAACGTAACGATTCTACGGTTCGAATTCAAACGATTTTCAGTTCATACCGGAGGAAACAATTTCACCTGCACCAACGTACCTGCCTCAAGCAAAACCGGTTTCGCTTCGATCCACCGAAGAAGAGGATACAGATTTCGAAGGTCTAACTAGGGTCAACCGTGATGGAATTTATATGCTGCTGATTAGGTTGGGATATTGATAGTCTCGATTTCTCGTGGAATACGCAGATATTGTCTATGTCCGTATTATTTGCTACCAACAGTTACGCTCTAGTGCTAATCTAGCTTCTTAATATGAAATTTATGTCTGAACACATCAAATACACAATTTAAATCATCGTGCAATACACCTTTGAGGATGAGTCGTAAGCAGTACAAGCATCAAGACGTGCTCTGTCTATGGATATAAATGTATGTGCTTTAAAAAACTTTCGCTATTTAAGCTTCCATTTGATTTGCTTATTTGGCTATTCACTTTGTTTATCAGTGATTAGCTCCTTAAGAGACAAAACTTCCAGCTGCGGTTTAGTATATACCAGACCAAACTAATACGTTTCTTCATGATGTTATCTTTCAGGTTCGAAAATGCAACAAACACTCCGTTTAACCTGTCGGTTGACGTTTCAATGAAAGGTGAACACGGCTACCTTTCGGCTGTTGAGTGGCCCTATTTGCCATTTTTTGGCACTATGTGTCTCGTATACACAATGTACGCCATTGGATGGACATTTGTTTGCGCTCTTGCTTGGAAAGAGCTATTGCGAATACAGTTCTGGATTGGCGGAGTTATTTTCCTCGGTCTCTTGGAGAAGGTGTGTCCGAAGCTTGTTAGCTCTACTTGATACTTTTTTGGGATATAGTTGTCGATTTCATTAACGGAAATCTTGCAACTATCGTACTGCATTAGGAGAAATAAAATTACGTTGCCTTTATCTATTTCTGTACCAAAGATCTCGTAGTTAACGTACAGACCTGAAAATTTTACTGTACGCTGTATATACACTGATATACGTCAAAACAAGAACAATTGTTAAGCAAGACGATCTTTGTGAACATAACACATCTATGGTAGTTAGCCTTTTCCTTGATGGTAAAATGTTTGTACATGAACCCTAATCAGTATATATTTACCCTTTCTGAATTATAAGGCTACATTTTACGCTGAATACGAGAGTATAAACAACACTGGCCACTCGGTGCGTGGAGCGATCCTATTTGCTGAGCTCGTCTCGTGTCTGAAACGAAGTCTCGCTAGACTTCTTGTAATAATTGTCTCCCTTGGATTTGGCATTATCAAGTAAGGACATTGCAATCGAAGTTGGAGAAATATGACCATACCTGTTCGATGCCCAACTATAAAGTGGTTGCTCTTTCGTCCCTAATCAGCGATCCTATAGCGATTAATAGTACTAATAATCTTTTGCTTCTTTAATTACGGTCATCTAAATTAAGATAGCAAGATAAGAACTACTGTGAAAATTGAAAGTTCTTCAGTTTGGGTAGTTCGTCATTTTAAATGTCATATTCGATTTTTTGCAGGCCTCGTTTAGGTGACATGTTACAACGAGTGCTACTTGTTGGAGGGCTGTACTTTATTCTCGCTTTGGGCGAAGGGGCCATTCGTGAATTAAAGCCTAAGACGACTCCCGACCGGACTCTGTTTTCGTTGTCAATGTGCCTGGCACTGCTGGATTCTGCCATTTGTTACTGGATATTTACATCTCTAGTGCAAACAACACGAACGTTAACGCTTCGCCGAAACATCATCAAACTGACCCTGTATAGGCACTTCACAAATACGCTTGTCTTTTCAGTACTAGGTTGGTACACAACATATTTATGTAATTGGCTATATACATATATATAGTCGATCACCTCGTGTATAATTTTGAACTGGCTTACAAAGACTGTAAGTGAATAAAATATATGTTTCAACGATTTTTTGCGTTAATAGGTTTGCAGAATACGTTTAGTCAATAGAACGTCCGTTTACATGTTTTGCGTCTGCTTTAAACTGTTACCTAAATCTATCAAAGGCTCGTTTGAAAGTTCCTCTTTACAGTCCTGCGAAGTGCCTTGTTGACAGCACGAACGAGCAGAGTCGACGTTGTCATGTTAAGATTTGCTACTTTCGATGGCATAACGCATCCTTCATCGCCGTAGAGTAGTAATTACAAGAAGGATAACTGGAAGCTCTCGGTCAAAAACGGCTTTCTTACGATCACTTCTTTCGCGAGATCGTCCACAACGAAAACGCTTGCTTTATCGTCCTGCCGACTGCAACGTTAATCTTTAATAGAACTGTCCACGGGGCGCGTTGGGCTTTATGCAGGTCTACAGGCTAAGAAAGGCTTGTAATGTTCGAGAAACGCAATTTATCCGTCAACACCGAAGATATTATGTTTACATCCATCTCATAGTCGATTATTGCAACCATCTTTCCGCAAGGGTTCAGTTTCGAAAACGAGTAGGTCTATGATGCTCACGCTCCAACGGAAAAAAGACTTCGTACGTTGATCGTTGAAATGACCCTGCTTTCTCCAGTAAAAGCGTATGCAACCAGTTGCTCGATAGCCATCGGGCCTCCCTACCGTGCCCACATTGTTGGGGGTCACCTCGAACGCCGCCTGCGCCACGACCGTTCCGAATCATGGCATTGCCGAAGTCAGTTGTTAAGGCTACATTGAAGAGTTGGTGTCTGGGCCAGCCTTAGACATAAATAATAGATTCCTATTGTAGGATACATTTGCCAGGCACCGTGATGTCCAGCTGCGGCAGGTCGGGTCAAAGGATCAACAGTGGAATAGCCTTGGTGACGTCTTTGAGCAGGCGGGCGACAAGAGCCTCTATTGGCTGCGTCCAGGCATCTACAGGGAGCCGATCCACTCGCGCAGATAGTGAGTGGACCGGCCGAGTCAACGCCGAATACTGTTGTTCATCTAGTTTAGATTTTTACCCGGGGTTCAATCCGCTGTTGCTGCCACTAACATGCTGCGAATGGTAGACCTGCTATTTGCGACCAGCGATATACTCGGCCTCATATACTTCCTTATATACAGGTCTGAGCCGTATCTACTTGAAAATTATGATATTATTAATGTTTGCGACGCGCATCTTTACAATGTATAAAATCATTCTCGGTGCGTCCACTTCATTTAAATATTTATGCTACGACTAAGCCTCAGATGCAGAGTGCATATTCTTTACAGAAACCAGCTGCGAACGCCGTTGCGTCATTGACTTAAACTGCCGGATCAAGCTCATCAAGATTTCTTTTACAAAAGTGCTTATTTGAAAACTTAATGTCCGGTAGATTATAGGCATACTACATCACCAAAAATAGCCATCAGAAAAGCGGTTTGGTACAAAAGTTTAAGGGCCTGTGAATATTTCACGAGCCTTTAGGCGCCCATGGAGACTCTGCAGAGAAGCAGTTGTTAATATAGTAGCTGAGAACATGTTGAGGAGTCAGAACATCTTAGTTCCTCACCTAGCGCAACAGCTAGGGTTGTTGTTGATGCGCCCTACACGACAACCTCGAGCACTTTATTCTATTAAATTTGTTCAACCCGTGAGCTTAAGCTGTGGGTTATGCGAAGCATCGTTATACGTTTGCTGTATGAGTCAAGAGTTAGTTGCAGAGCGATCGCAATTCTGCATCGGAAATCATCTCCTGAAGTGATTCGCTTGTTTACCTGACTGGACCAGTAGACAAACCAAACTGCCAAACATAAGCAAATGAAAACCCTCACGCCGTTTATGAACAATGATCGAGGGTAAAATATACCAACGGAGTGGTTTTTTGTTTGACTAGTGACGATTCTCGTTACACAGAGATGTTAAAAAGCTGCTTGTGGCCAAACCGCGTGAGTTTGATTTAAACAATATGTGAGTTCAACAAGACTGGGTTATCTGCTATTGAGCGTTCAAAACGTTAAATATGTTGAACGAACTGTTCAATGGGCACGTTATTTCTGAGCGGGGACTTGTAGTAAATCCTTAAAAAGAGAATTTATATGATTAGACCTTCTACAAATAAGAAACCCGACATGAAATGTTGGTAATTACGCCCTGTTTGTGTAAAAAGTTATCGAAAATTGTGTGTTTCGTTTTGAGTTTGTCAAATAATCGTGAGGCGGTCGCCTGAGTGGCATAATATTTAAAACGTCGAGCCTTGTAGTTTGCAATAAGAGCTCTATTTTATGCAAGTTCGACAAGCTTATTACAGTCCAGAGTTGATACACCAGGCATAGATATATTTGTACATGATTACTAAAACCTTCAACTCTCATTATATTTATTATTAGTTTAACTGAAACTCATCGTGGCTTCAAGCTGATTACACTCAATTGGCAGCGTTTTTTTGGTGGTATTTTTCTTTGAGATGATCAATACGTTTTTGTACCGTGACACTCAAGAAGAGCGTATTGTAGAAGTACCGACCTTTAAACGATAGCAACTCAGTTTGTAGAAGATGAGTGTCTGAATTTTCATAATGAGTTAAATAACCAGTTGTGCTTTTTATATTTCCAGCTTCGGGCGTTTTTTTGGTTTGGGTCGTACTAAACCACCGAATGAGCGAGTGCATTTCCGACTGGAAAGAACTTTGGTTTGATGATGCGTATTGGCAGATTCTCTTCTCAATCATCCTGCTTGTCATAATGGTTGGTGAGATTGGGTGCTAACAAAAACTGATTTTTTGACATAACTGCTTGACGTTGCGTAGAACATCAATAAACGTATCGCCTAAAAAAAGGAAAACATTAGAGAGGTTTCAAAACAATAAAAACTTTCAAACGGGTAATTAAACTGGACGTGTAAACATGTCCAGTGTAACTATTTAGGCGAAACTTATCTCGAAAAGATATGCAGTAAAAAGCTTGTGTAAAAGCACAGGTTGACATCATCATATATACTAAGTATATTTCCCCAAATAGAAGCAGCTGTAAAAATTTCCAACGATGAATGAAAGTGCAAACATTAAACAAAACCGTTTCTAAAATAAGTACAGTAATCATATCTATTCGAATCCTATCTATCGAATCAATTGTTCCATTGAGTGAAGCGCTGCTTTCTAATTAGAAACATACGTTTAGCTGTGGTCCAAAGTATTATTTGTAGAGAAGTACTGATGGTTCAGTGATCCAAGTTTATTTGATTAAAACTATCTATTAAACAGGATTATAACACTACTAACGAATTAAAGCCAAATTTACTTTTATAACATCGAAAGCAGTAGTAATCATGCAGTATGCATTTTATTATAATACTAATAATTATTTGTATACCGATAGGTGCTTTGGCGTCCGACGAATAATAACAATCGATTTGCGTTCACTCCATTACTGGACAATCCTGATGACGAAAACGATCCTAACGATACAGACACTGCGACCTTACTTGACGTGAGCCATGTAAAGCAACGACAGGTAAAAACCATTACTAGTGTTGTAAAAATACGTAAGAGATTAAAAAACATCTTTGTTTATTGTGCCTTTACAATGACCGTTACGCTTAGAGCTGTGTTTGAAACAATTAGGATAAAAGAATTCCATCTACACGTCATAACATAATTGTACAATTTCTAGTATTAAAACACAACTTTAAGCACTTCTGCTTAAACAGCATTTAATATGAGTTAAACAAGATTGGCTGAAATAGCTATTCTTTTCATCATTCGTAGCCATGCTCAAACAAACAGTTACTGGAATTACTAAACATTTGTCAAATATTTTAACATAAAAAATATGTAAGTTTTAAAGCGAAAATGTTTCTAAACAGTAGGGGTAATAATAATGTTGTTATTTTGCAGATTGGACCAGGCAAAAACCAGCCTCCAGCTCAGCAGATAGAAGCTCCTCCCAACGGTTCAATTGAGGAAGACTTAAAATGGATTGAAGCACACGTGCCAACGGATGCGGCTCTCGGCAAGCTTGTCGATTCCGAAGAAGAGATACTTACTGTACAGTTCGAACGCAACAAGATGCTATAGATGAGGTGTTGAAGGCACGCGTTAGTGATATGGTAGTCATGAATGTGCTTTCACGGCAAAAGGTGACGATATAATCCGTGATCAAGGCGCACGCGGTTTTCCTCCGAGGGACTGAATGCTTGTGGGCGGAACGGATCACACCATGTGCACAGCTGCGTTGCATTTGCTCCGCTGAGTACAACTTTGAGGATTCATTCTTGTTTCCTCAACACCAATGTGCACTGAGCATATATAGTCAAGCAGCGCATTTTTATGCTAATAGAAAGCCTCTGAGCTGCGTTACGTTGTTGAGTTAAGCTCCACTCAATATAACTCGTTGAAAAAAGACAATGCAGTAGACGTAAATTTCTGGACGCTTTTTTACAATACGGATTGCGACTTCACCTATCAATTAATCTTTTTTATAGTCATGTTCTAATAATCTTCAGTTAAGTCTTCCTAATTAACTTCTAAGTCGATTGGCCTTTAATACCGATTGACTCTGTTCCTAGCTAATCATTGTAATGACAGTAGCTACGTAATGCCATTCTGCTGAAATATGTAGCGGGATATATATTGCAGGATGAATAGTTACCTACTGTTAAATAATGCCACATTCAAAGCATCAATATTTTTACATCTTGTAAGATCCCTGCATAATCTGCTGAAACGTCAAACTCAAAACTTTCGCTTTTTTGCTCTGGCAACTAATTTTTCTAGGACAAGTGAAACGGCAAATATTCAACGATACAACAAGGCAAGGACATGATGAATACTAATCAAATATGATTGTCTGAGGAGTTAAGGTTGACGGCAAACCAGTTTAGATGGCCTTAACAGCCTCAGTAGGAGCCAAATCTAATGTAAAAGCTGCATTAAATTAACGAGATTCCACCGAAGTGCACCAACTGATTTCGAACATGTTTAAATCTAGCATCCAGGTGAGGTCTTTTAAAAAACAAAAGTCAGAGAAAACTGCTGAATATATATAACTGATACGCGAGACGAGCACGAATATCTATACACGAAATGTGCATTGTTAACGTAGACGTAAATGCTTAGATATATATATGAATGAAATATTTATTACTTTACTATTAGTATTCCCACTATTTAATGTTTTAGATAACTTTTAGTTAGAGCAACCCGATTCGACGGAGTGATATATAAAAATAATTAAAAACCTTTATCTGGTCAGGGGACGCCTAAAATCGCGATGATTGAACCACTTGCTAGTTTTCGGGATAATTATCGAACCTAATTAATTAAGTAGGAATTACTTGTTTCGTAGCCCTGTTTCGCAAGCTTTTTCGTTTATAAAATGTGCCGCTGAACTGAGAAGCTCGTAACAGTTCCTATGTAAGTGTCTGTGTGTTTTAGAATTTAAATAAGCTGGCTTTTACCAATGTCCATTTGTAGCCTTTCAATAAGAAAAGACACATAGAATGTTGTCTGTGAATAATGCGATCATTTCTGTCTAGTCGGAAAAAAGCTGCTGGTTTACGTAGTTGGATTGTTTCATCATCTACTGTTTGCATGCTTGCTTTTCATGCATATGTTATACTTCACGCTGGCGGCACCAACCAATATACCGTCTCCTTAGGAGGTAGCAAGCAAACTAGTTACGATAGAATAGTGGATGTATAGACCTTGCATAGGCGGCGGAAAATTTCTTTTTCCTATAATACTTTTCACTAGTAGGGACGATAATGATGCGGTTTATTTGAACTAGATAATAGCTCGCGTCAGGCGAACTGTAGATGTAGGGCTGATATTCGGACAACAGCAAAAGTTGGAAGAGATCAGCAAAAGCGAAAATAGCAGCAATGACGCACCAGCATTGCATCAACCTCAATATGGTCGCGTACGCTGACCGAGAGCAGAGCAAACATCTCGCAACATTCCGAACGTCTGATTTCAGCTTTTGATGTGATTGATGATTCAGAAGACACTGATTTGGCGAAATTGATTGCGGTGGCCGTAGTCACGAATGAACCTATATACCCCCGAAATGTATTCCAGTCATGTCAAAGCTCGCTGGTGTCGTGCATTAGCAACAACTTTGGGGGTTGTATCTATAATGCAAAGCCATACATAAAACGCTGCGCGAACAAAGGTGTGTTAAAAACCACAGGGAGACAAAGATAGAACAATATTAAGATGACGTTAATTATAATTGTAAATTTGTAAATAAACATTTGATCATGCTATAATATCTGCCGTTTAATCTTATTCCATTGCAAATTTAATAAGAATGTTACGTATGGTACACGTGTAATATTACACTTCGTTTCGTTATTTCGGAACCGTTTGAACAGGATTTCAACGTTTCTATATACGGTTTTATCAGAGCAGAGCGAGTAGGTCCAACAAGAAAGCTAAGTCTTTTTCAATATATATATATATATATATATATATATACTTTCTGCTTCGACTGCAAGATTTTCAAGATATTTTGAACACAGTTGCGTTGACCTTTGTTTAAAGTACATGTCACCGGAAATGTTGCGACGTTCGAAACTACGCAATTTTTATGAAATCCTTTCGAACAACAGCACTTAGCACTGCTTTAATAATCGACAGTGATTAATCCACCATTAGAAAGCTCAAGTAACAATCGTCGATGGCAGCAACAACAGAAGCAATGAGATCACATGTCTCGTTCTCTTTCCGGACAAACAACCTGTTTTCGAAAAAATAAGCCCAGAGGTAAATAGTTGTCCATTAATCGTACAAACCGTGATCACATCCCTTTCTGGGAGTGCACTTTATCTGTTAGCTTGAGCTGTGGCTCTACGCAATAAAACTAAGGGGTCATTTTGTCCTGTGACACCCGGCTTAATCTGTTCGCAAATATTATTACTAGTTGTAATAAATAAGAAGCAGCAGTATGGTTAGTGTACGTGTGGAGAATCGATTCAATGTGCACTTCGAAGACAATGGCATGGTAGTGATAGTGTGTCTTTATACGCCCATTGATCTTTTGAGATACAATCTACTAAATACTTTTAATCTCTTGATGCGTTCAGTTTGTAAGTTGTGATTTGAGTTTGATAAGTGGGTTAGTCTAGAGCTAACATTTTGTTCTAACAGCTGTTAATTTTTAAATCAATCACTCCAAGGCAATAACTCTTCAGTGTTTTTTTTACTAGTAATTTTATTTATTCCCCTCACAACGTTGCCTTAGTGCTTGTTTACTCGTTTTCAGGCGTTGATTTGGCAGTTAATTTAATGTTTTTGTTGGAATATTTACGACTCTATAATCCCAATAAAGCATTTAACTTATAAATTATAAATTAATGAAAAAAAAATAAAACTCGAAGAAGTTTTTCTATGAAGTTGCATCACATCAGATGTGCCTTCTACAATTTATTAAAAGAATATGCCGGAGATCGAACAAATCAACGAAGGTTGTATACTTAAAATATATTGTTCAGGTGCCTCGAAAGCACTGACAAGGTGCCGATGATGTTTTTTTTGACTATAATTATAAGGGCATGATGTTAGTATTCCTTGTGACTCTACAAAAGACATTTTCATCAACAAGTATTATGAGCATAATAATCGAAGGTATATACGACACAGCTTAAATATTTGCTTGTGTTGTCGCTAAATCGGATCGACGGTGGCACCATTTTTACCATCTGTCTCCATTTTCTTTTTAAAACATTTTTGCTGTTGGTTCCGTATTTTTGAGGTGTTACTTGAGTAGCAGAATCGTTGTCTTACTTGACACGCCTATGAAATCCTATCTCACTGAGTACCATATTGCATAAGACCTTTCGGTTCTCCATCCAGTTTTTTCCGCTTACTTTATGCTTTAGCTCTATGAAAAATTTCAAAATATTACAGAGAGTGAACAAGGAAATAAAAATTCCGCAAGTACTTGAAAAAATGAAAAGCGGCGTATTCAAATAAAACGGAGCGAAAATTATGAAGTAATGAAGCAAATAAAAATTGTGCACCAGTGGGAACGAAAATTTGTGTGGCTTTTTAATTTAACCATTTAGTCATGGGAAAGTGGAGATTCGAAGGGTCAGAACGTGAAAGTTTCGTTGTAAGGGCAGGCTTGTCAAATAAAATGGTATAAAAATAGATACCGAATAAAAGAAAGTCTTCCACTGATGTTCAGCCTTTGACGTCTCTTCGTTTTCCGGGTTTTACGTCTGATACCGCAGTTAGGTACACTAAAAGGCCCTTATATCCTAGCAGGAAACGAAGTGTTTCTGCGCCTAGTTCGTACCTACATCACAATGTGTCCTTCATATCAGGAAGCAAGTAGGTTACCCACTAAGCTATTACGGGGACAGCCTTTTAAATTTAGAAGTACACAATTAAAGAAACAAAAATAAGGCGCCCCAAGAATGAAGCAGACGACGGTGTGTCTCACCCTCTACTTCTACTGTCGTTATCGCACTATCGAGGATGAAAGAACGATGGTTGTCAAAACGGAACAGCACGTTTATGACGGTATTGACGTTAAATGCCATTGACGACAGCTTAATGATATTAGGAATAATAATGAATAATGATATTAGGATGCGAATCGACGGAGCAGACAAATTTTAGTTAAACGTGAAATCAAAGCGAAAGCATAGAACGTTTCATGTGGTTCCGTGGAACCGCGTCACTATCTATCACTAACAGCATTCTATTGGGTGGCGGGAGAAGGACTGGTAAACCCCGTCGGACAGCTTTAGATGCGCGAGAGCAACTACCAGCCGTGGTTGGAAGGTGGACCAGCAACTTGCTGATTAACGAACAGCCAACAGAAGATATCCATTTGACAAGAAACAACGAAAAGTGAGTAACCGACTAAAAGGTTGTCCTTTGCTGGATTGTTTGTACGCGCGGTTCGATTGTAATTACACAGATTTGCAGAACATTTACCACCCTTCATTCGGCTGTCAGCAGTCAAGCGTCACCATTGTAAAGATCGTAAGTGAATTAATAACAGATTTTTTCAGATTCTAGATATCTAATCTTTCATTATTAATTTATTTTTGTGCACTCATGTAACACCATGGGTTTTGTATAGGAGTGAAAATTTGTAATAGAGTCTATAAGTGAAAACATTAAATGTATTGAGAAGGACATACGAATGGCTGAATGAATGAGCTTACGATAATAATAGAATCTGCTAATTGTATAGACCATATGCGATTGGATAGGCTATCGTAAATAGCAAATTACTGTATTAATTATCGTTATTATGAATAGCAAATTCCTAAGATATTTTCATTTTGTTATTGAGATTGTCTTCGAGAGAAGCTGTTTTCACATGTAATATTAGGTATATACAGTTGATAGGTATAACACCTCTAGTAACACTGGAAGTTACCAAACGGCCTTGCATGTGGACTTGGCGATTACCACATTACCCTTAGAGATGCTGTGTTGATTCCAACGTGTTCATCCCAATAATCAATGAAAAATTTTTTTAAGACAAAAGATTTTGGAAATAAAAGTACACTCGACGGCTAGTAACACGAAGTTACCAAACGGCCTTGCATGTGGACTCGGCGATTACCACATTACCCTTAGAGATGCTGTATTGATCCCAACAACGTGTTCATCCCAATAATCAATGAAAAAATTTTTTAAGACAAAAGATTTTGGAAATAAAACAAAGTACACTCGACGGCTGCATTGATCAGATTTTTAGCTTTCGACTCTCTATAGCTATCAATTTTAGTAGCACGACGTTTTTCCGGTTGATCAATTGGTCTGTTTTTGTCAGTTATGAAAATCTTAGTGAATCTGTCGTTAGGCTGCATGTAAAGCTTCTAGAGAGATTGCTTGTATTATCACGACTCCACCCTTATAGTTAAGTCGCTAGTTCCCGCTGGCAAGGACTGGACAGGCCTGACTCGTTTTGTCGCTATCGGCGGAGGAGGAAATGTTGTCTGCTTGCATGTTGTTTTTGTTGTCACTCGTATGTGTGGCGGGCGTTAAGCACGACCGTTTTGATTGAACAGCTTGTTTGCCAGCTTCGGTGCGGTCTTATCGTTTTGTTCAGTCGTCTAGCTGCACTGTAGAGCTGTGGGCGTTTACATCGACATTTGGTTAGGTTGTTGTAAAAGGTGTCTGCAGAGACTGCTAAGTTACAGCTTTTTGTGCTCTGTGTTCCGCGAAATTTTATGGGTACATCGTGGTGCGCTTTCGAATGTAAAAGAACATGTAGGAACGGCCACGTGCTATTATCCAATACTGATTGCACAACGGTAGAAGGGAAGGTAGTTATTTATGAAAAGAAGGCATAAAAAGTGATCAGGATGGTTATCGCGACGAATTTCGAGCCGCCCACAGAGGGCATACGACACCAGGTGACAGATACTCAGGCGTTGATTCGGAACTCGGATTTTGGCAAGGTGAGAGTCACGTCTGGTCATATGAACCAGAAGATATTTTAAAACTACTACAAACAACTCTATATATAATACGAGTTTACAGGATAAACTTCTGTTAAGTAAAAACAGTTTTTTATAAAATTTTTATAAAATAGCTAGTCATCTTGTAACACGTAAAACTATTTCCATTTTTCTTAGTGTATTTACTAATCAAACGGTGACGCGAAATAGTTGTTTCAGTCGGAGTAGGTGATTACACCGCTACTAGACTATGCACTAGTGTGTGGTAGTTTAAACCAGACTGGTAGTACAATATCCTGATGTTGTATTATAAAACTACATAATTCGTCGTGCGCTTGACGGCATGACAAAGCGCTAAGTGATAACATAATTATAACGTAGCTTACAATGGAAATACAATGAAACGCAGTCTCATTCTGTAAATTAAAAAAGTCACTAATTGATGCTTCTATTTCAGGGAACGCTATATATTAGCGAAGGCAGACTGTGTTGGTCAGGTGAAAGTGGAACAGGATTTTCTCTTGAATATCCTGCTATTCAACTTCATGCTATCTCTCGAGACCCTTCAGTAGCTCCGCGACCCTGCTTGTATCTTCTTGTGGAGGGAAACTTACTAGAAGCGAGCTCCAACAACGAAATATTCCGTCGAAACTATCCGCAAGAACAGGGCGCAGAGAACGGCGGCGCGGGAGGTTCTGGCAATGGTAGAGCTTCTATGAAGTTGTATGCTTACCAGTATAGGGTTTCATCAATCTGTTGCTCTTAGGTGTTACGTAAGCTTATGAATGAATGTACGATTGTCAACCATGTTCTTCCAGCTAATCCTTAAAGTTTAATTCACTCATAGACAGTAGGCTATTGCAATGCAATATATTATTTATGTTTTTATACAAAATAGGGATCACCGCGAAATGCATTATTTCGAAATCTTGATTTCGCATTTCATCCGCTGTATGCCGCCGTTACAGGGGTAGTTGTATCAGGAGAGGAATCAATTGAAAGCATTGATGAAGACTTAAATGATGGCAGCTCATCAATTGACAGCACCAGTCAGACAACAGAGGTTCGATTCATTCCACCCACAGAGGAGTCGTTGCCAGCTATGTACGCAGCCATGTGTCACTGTTCAGCACTTCATCCAGACCCCACCGAACAGGGCGATGAGGACTCTGCTGCTGACGATGTGAGCGGCGAAGAGTACGTTGCTGAAGGTGCTGAGCAGGATCTTGGCGCTGTCCATCATACCCAAGATCGTAGGGCGAACAGGGCCCATGAGGATGAACATATGGAGGGACAGTTTGATGACGCCGACTGAAAAACATAAGGGAGCAGCATTAATTTGGCTAAACCGGACACGGGACGCTAGACATTTCGGCAAGCTGAGTCCTCAATTTGTGTCCATAAGAAAATCTTTGTAGTCTAGATTTCGAAAAGGATGCGGTACAAGTACACTTTGTCGAAGAACATTGTTCTGTGTATAGATGTTGTACATTATCAACGTGGCATCGCGGGTAACCATCTTAGGCATGTTGTAACTTTCTATCGCTAAAAGTGCATGAATGTACGTATGTCAACGCCTGTCGATCCATATTGTTTCATGAGCATAGTTGGCTTCGCGAACACTGATCCATTACGTATTGTTAGAGTGTCCAATGTATATATGCGCAGTTACAATTCGAAGGAATTACAAAAACTTTATATCCTCACTTAGGTGCTGGTGAATTTAGTTCACCGAGTTTCACTCAAGACCATCTAGTATATGGATTCGACGAAAGCACCTATACAAACAATTATACGGCAATTTAGTACATAAATAAAACACTGTCACCATATGTAGAAGACAACAATGCTTTTGTGCTCATTCTTACTCAGCTTTGTATGCACATTTCGTATATCTTATATTAGCTGTGGAACGCAAAGCTACTTTTGCACATAGCTTAAATTTAGAAAGATAATCTGATCAACTTCACGTTCAGCTCACACCAACCTCCAGAATAAGGGCATCGACATAAGTTGCTTTTTTGTTTTTCCCCAAGGGAATTGTTGCATTGGATTAAACCATTTTGTTAAGTGCCTCGCTTTGTAAAACCAACTGAATTTCTTAATTCTGGACTTGCGGATTACGAAAAAGTACATCAAGTATATTTATACAATAAATTAAATCATTTTAATAATTTTGACAATGTTAGTTTCATTTGTTCGATTTAATTAGAAACTTGTGGTTTCAAAATAGTGCATGGTCATCTTTGAACGTTCGGAAGTTTATCAACACGAAAATCATTCGTATGAGCTTAATGTGGATAAATTAACCTCCTACGAATGATTTTCGTGTTGATATATATATAAATGGAGATATAGATATACCTGAGTTAACGTTGAATTCATTTTGAAGTTTCGATTTCTTTAGTTAAAACTGTAAAATACTGATCTGATATAATATGAAATCTGTCGTATTTCAGATGGTGAAAATAGGAATTATTGGAGGCTCCGGTCTGGAGGACCCGGAACTGCTTAAGGAAAAGGTGGAAAAACAAGTCGACACTCCCTACGGAAAGGTAACGTGCAGCGTTTTGTTCATAGATTGAAATACGTGTGGCTATGTTATTATTAAATTATAGCACTTATCATGAGCATAATCGGGGTGTCTTGCCACATGAAGAACGTAGGTAATAATTACCTAAAGCTCGTTTATTTTACGAAACCTGTTACCGACCATCAGGGTTTCGAAAATTTAACTCGGTTGACATTGAAAAGAAAATCTATGATTTAGGATTCTAAAAATATTCTCTGTTGAATACATATGAAAAATGAATATATTCTATTAGTATTCAAAAAATTTATGGTTTGAGCAATTAGGCAAAAATTGGATGAATTTAATGCCTCCTTATTTGTTCGATATATGTAGCCTTCGGACGCGCTGATCTCTGGGAAAATTGATGGGATCGACGTAGTGATACTTTCTAGGCATGGACGCCGCCACACGATTAATCCAAGTAATGTTAACTATCGCGCAAATTTGTTTGCGCTCAAACAGGAGGGATGCAGTCATATACTCGTAACCACAGCATGTGGCTCACTGAAGGAGGAGGTACGGAAAAAAATCAAATTTAGAAATCATTCTAAAAGTTGAGGAAGTACATTATATACGTAACAGCTGGAAGAATGAACTAATTCACGTGAAGTTCTCGGATCCAATGTAATAAATCCTAACCAAAAAAGTATTAACTAAAAATCTGTTCAGGTAATGACATAAAGAAAAAAGATGACGAATTGAATTTCCAATCCACTTGTTAATTGTTTGTTCAGAAAAATGGGCTTGTCAATTAAACATGTAATCCGTGTATCTTGCAATCTGTAAATGTTTTTATAGGTGCGTCCAGGAAATTTTATGACGCCTAATACATTTATCGATCGGACTTACCGCCGCATTCAGACGTTCTATGATGGTGAAGAAGGTGAGGGTCGCTTTAAAGGTGTCTGTCACCTTCCCATGACAAAGCCGTTCTGTGAAACTCTGTCCAAATTATTGTCAGAGACAGCAGGTGAACTGGGCTTGACTTGCCACCCTAAAGGCACCGTGGTCTGTATCGAGGGGCCTCGTTTTTCAACAGTCGCGGAATCTAATGTCTTCAGACAATGGGGTGCCGATTTGGTCAATATGACAGTCGTTCCCGAAGTCGTGCTTGCCCATGAGCTTGGTACGTGTAATTGTTGAGTATTTCCGTAATATTTCT